TTTAGTTGTTTGTAGTCTTTGAGTAAGCTATTGGTATTAAGTGAATGAATTTTTAGTGATTGTGCTTGTATTTTATTTTCTAGGTGAGTGATAGTTTGAGGTTCATAAGTTATAGGGTTGGAAGTTGAGTTTGGTTGGAGTAGAATATTAGAGTCGATATATAGTATTTTGAGTATTGTTCAAATTGGTATATTGTAAAATTTGTAGAATTTTTCTAGTGTTAATAGTGTATGATTTGGAAGTAAAGAATCATTTGTGTTAGTATATATGTAGGATTCTGTTTGTTGTTGGTTAATTGAAATTTTAATTGGTTGTAAGTAGAAAGAATTTTGTAAATGTTTTAAAAAGGATCCAAGTGTTTCGTTTTGTATTAGTAGAAGTAGGTTATTAGTTAGTAAAAAATAGTTAAAGCAAGTTATTTCTTCAGCATGGGATGAAGTATTAGAAGCTGAAGAGTAAGAATGTACTTCTGTAGAATCGCTCACCATATACTCAGTTTTTATAGTTGTACAAGAGTTCAAAGTTTGCTCTGTACATTAGTTCTGGCTATTATAAAATTGGTTTTCTATGTAAATAGACTTGTCTGCCTGTTCACTTACTACATTCTCTTCCAGAAATAGTCTACAAGAAGTGGAGGACATCATTATTCTAGAAGTGGTGGTTGTATCAATGTGTTCTACTGAAGAGTTTATTGAAAAGGAGTATGAGATGTTGTTGTATAAATATCGGAATTAAGTTTTTCAGCATAAGTTTATTTGGTGTTTTTGTTTTTGGTTAAAGATGAGAATAGTGTATTAAGTAGAATGTCCTCATTAATAGTGGTAGTATTGAACTGGATATTAAATTTTTCAAAAATAATTTTTTCTGCTTGAGGGTAGAATTTGTCTCTATACTTAGCAGAAATTTGTGTAATAGAGAGTTTTGGTTGTTGAAGTAGGTGGAGGTATATTAAAATTCTAGCAAAGTGATGTATGTTTGTAGGTTTAGAAATGATTTTTTGGATTATTTGATAATGATTAAGAGTGAAAATTTCTTCATTTATAGCTATAGCTGTAAGGAAGGCTTTAAGATAGGTATAGATATAATAGATGCATCTTTTGATACTAGTTACAGTTTTGTTTTGTTTAATAAATTCTTGTTTAGCTGTATTGGCTAGTTTATGAAATAGAGTAATTAGTGTAGGAATTTGAAATAATACTTCATTTTGTTGGTCCTTTTGAAATTGTTCGCAGTTAAGTTCTAGATGTATCTATCTAACTCTGTTTCTAGGAGGGTCAGAGGATTTGGTTACTGGAAATTTAGTAAAAGATTGGTCGAAGAAGGAGGTTGAGATATTTTTAAAGATGCATTCTGTATCAGCAGGCAAGACATTGCAGTCTGTACTAGTGCATGTATGAATATGAAAAAGAGCAGCTTTGGTGTATAGAATTGTGCGTTCATGGAAAGAATTAATCGAAGTTATTTTGAAGTTATTAAAGAGAAGTTTTTTGCAAGCTTTTGCAAGGTTAAGTACAATTTTATGTTTGATAGGGTTATATGTTTTGGTTTGGTCTATTATAGGAAATTGATATTTGTAGATTTTGAAGAAGGGTTTGAACTATTTGTCAAGATCTTCTTTGTGTTTTTTGAGTGAAAAAATTCTAAAAGTTTCTAAAAATTGTTGTTTAGAGATATTAAGAGAAACGTTAATATTAAATTTGTTGTTATGTTGTATTTAGAAGAGAGGTTAGTGAATTTTATCTTCAAAAATAAAGTAATATAATTGAAATCTTTTAGGTTTAATACTAAGATCCTCAAAGAATTTATTAGTATGGATAGTTTTGTAATCATTATGAAGGTAGAGATAAATTCTAGCAAGGTTTATAGCGAATAAGTTATGGTTTTGAATAGTATAAAGAGGAATTGTGTTATAAGATAATAAGATTTTTTGGTAATTTAATTTGGTAAAAAGAATTATTGTAAATTTAGATAATAATGATTTGAAGGTTAAAAGGATAATATCGAATGGAATTGTAGTTGCTTTGTTAATATTTGGGTTAGTATTAAAGATAAGGTCTGTAAGGAAGTCAGGATGTTGTCCTGCTATTGATTTAATGAGGTATTTGAAGTAACTTTTATAGGCAGGTATTTCTTCAGATACTGGTTTGAGGATTTTTTCTGATGTGAAGTTGATGAGATGTGGTTTTAGAAAGTTGAAAAGTTTAATTGAGACTTGTGTATTAAGTTGAGTTTGTTGTTCTATTTCTTCAGTTATAAGAAAGGTTTTAAACTAATCGAGATTATTTGAAGTATCTCTTGTGAGTAGAGGTTTTTTAGTGAGTTTACTGAGAGCAGATTTGAATAGAATTTTTTTTTAGTTAGAGGACATGAGACTGAATTTCATAAAATAGAAGGTATTTAGTTGAGTTGGTATTAGAGGTTTAGATTGGGGAAGTGGTTTAATTCGAATATTATTAATATATTCTGAGTGAATTAGAAAGCCTTTAAGAACAGTTTCAGCTTAGAGAAAGTGTTTTTCATTTAAAAGGAAAACACAAGGAATGTTTTTTTTATGACAGACTAAATATGTGTGAACGTGATGAGAATGAGCTATAATAGGAATTTGTTGGCTAAGTGGATTTAGGTATGTAGAGGATGTAGCAGTATTTTCAGTATCGTAATTAAATAGGAATGGAGGTAGTGAAATTGTATTTTGTTTAATTGGTAATTTAGAAATTTGTTCTTGAAGTTTTAAGAATTGTTTTAGTATGATGTCTATTAGAGTAGGAGTATTAGAGCTTGGTGTAGGAGTGCTAGGTCTAGAAATTTCTAAGGTATGGTGTTTAGAAGTAAAGTACGTGTGGTATTTGTTGCAGAGGCAGTTGGTTAGAAAAGGTTGAGATAGTATGTGGAAGAAGTGAAGTTGTTTGGCTAGTACAAATTGAGAAGGGTTGAAGGCAAAGGGTATCAGTTTAAGTTGTATGAGGTTTTGTTCATGTGCGACTACACCGTATCTGTCATTATACTTAGATAAGTAGTAGTCTAAGTTGAAGGAATCAGAGTCATATTGGATAAGAGTAGGCATATTAGTAAGATGATATATTTGTTTTAGAAGTTAGTAAGAGTTTTAATTAGTTTAATATTATCGTATTTAAAATGAGAATGAGAAGAGTTTTACAAAAAGGTATAGTTTGGTTTGCATAATGTAATACTAGTTGTGTAACTTACAAAGTAGCTAGTGTAGCTTGTAGTTAGTATAGCTAGTATGGTACAAAGCCTGATCTGTATAACCAAGCTAAATTTAGTAAGATTTAATTGTTATGTTATACTAATTTAGAATTAGTACAAATATATAAGTAATTAATTTGTATTTAATTAAAATAAATTTAAAAGGGAAATTTTAATATTTGGTACTATTTTTGGGTGAACTAATAAGTTTTAGTTGATTGGTCACGTGATTTAGTTTCGGGTTTGGAGGGGGGAAACAGAAAAGAATTTTATTTTTCTAAAATTTTTAGAAAAGACCTTAAACAGGTTTTCTTTTAGTAATTTGATGAGTTTTTATCAGTTTTTAGTAAAATTTATATGTGTGTGGAGCTAGAAATAAGCTGGACAAAACTCTCTTAGTGACCAAGAGTTGTTATCTTAGTAAAATTTGGAGAAAATAATAAAATTGTTATATTAATTATTTAAGTAAATATCTTTGCAAGTTTAGGTCTAAAAGATATAAAATTAGGCCTTACTAAAGCAGAATTTTGTGTAGAATAATTTTGCTTAGTAGCCCAAGAGTGGTTTACTTAGTAAAATATTTAGTTATGAACAAATGTTTTTGGGAAGTTTTGGTACAAGTGATCTATAGGAAGAGTTAATGATTTGCGTCTGATATAAATATTACATGCAATTATTAATGACTACTATAATATATATATAGCAAACAATATTATAGAAAATAGCAAAAAAAGAGAAACAAGTATAGAAACAGTAATAGCACTAAAAAAAACATTGCAGAAATATATACACAATATCTAAACTTTAGTTAGATATGCGATTGCAATAGATCTGTTTCTTCTAAAGAAGAATAAAATATGAGTAATATCCATATACTTGTCACCAAGTAACAAAGTCAACAACCAGTGCATACAAGAAGTAATAATAGAATGGATCAAAGATGCAATTAAAAGAAACATCATACCAATAGTAATAGGAGATTTCAATCATGATAAACAGAAAAAAAAATATAAAGCTCTACTATTCTGCTTTATGGAACAACAAAGAATAATAAGTCTCATAATTGTATCTAATATAACTATATCTACGTGGAGATCAAATCAAAATGAAAGCTAAATAGATGATATTTGGATCTCAAGTAGAATACTTTAGGTATTCAGTTTATTATTAGTCATTAGTGCTAAATATAGTACAAATAGTGATCATAAAATACTATCAACATCTTGGAAAATAAGAATCATAGACAACGATTATAGAAAAAAAGTAAAAAAAAGATAGTATACCAATATAATAAGGTAACAAAAATACAATAGGAGCAATTTGCACAGGAAGTTAAAACCCAAAATACGATAATGTAAGCTAATATTTATGAGACAATAGATACACAAATATAATTTAATTCATACTAGAATAAAAGAGTAACAATAATTCAAAAAGCAAATAACAAATATATACTATACATACGTAAAAGAAACAATAGAACTCAAACTTATAAATATAAAGCATAGTAGACATTTAATTTAATTGGTTAAAAAATGTAAACAATATGCAATATATAGATTAATATTTATAAACAAATTATATAATTTAAATTATTATAAATAATTAAATATTTAATTTTATAAATTAAATATTTTTTTTATAATTAAAAAATTATTTATATTATAAATAATTAAATTATTAAATTATAAAATTGTTAATAAAAATAATTTAAAGTTTTATTAAAAAATTTAAAATTTTAAATAAATTTAAGTATTATATATATAATATATTATAATATTTGTATTTTTTTATTACCAATCTAAAACTTTAACTAATTTATCAATAAATTCTTGTTCTATTTTATCTTTTTCACTTAATATTAAATTTAAATCTTCAATTTCATCAGTACTATTATTATTATCTTCATTATTATTATCTATATCTATATCTTCATTAGTTAATATATTAGCTTCTTTTTCTAATCTATTTATAAAAGATTTTATATTATGTTTAATTCCAGTTTCATAATATTCATAACAATATTTACATTTTCTTTCTATAAGATTATAACATATTGTATGATATCCATGTCTACAAATAAAAACTTCTACTTGATATTTATCTTTTAAAATAGTATTACATAAATCATAATTAGTTAAAGAAAGAATTTTTTTAGTAGAATATCTACAAGGAAGCTGTTTTGTAGATACTGTTACTTCAAGTACTAGAAGATAATAATAAAAAGATTTAAAACTATTATCTTGATACCTAAATCTTTACATAAATATATTTTTTTAAAATGATTTAATAAAAAAATACTAGTTTTTTGAATTAAAGATTCTAAACTTGATTGTGTATAAGTAAAGTTTTTATATTTTAAAAAGTTTGTTTAAATTGATCATGACAATATGAATCTAATATATATATATGTTAATTATTTATAATTATTAATATTATTAAAAATTTAATTATATCATAACTTACCTATAACAAATGCTTCTCTAATTATTTCTTCTGTAATAGAATATTTTGTTGTATAAGCTCTAATTCTACTATGCATATTTTCTATATAATAATCATTAAAATGAACTAAATAATTTTTAATAGCTTCATTAAAAGGATATTTTTTATCTATCTAATAAAAAATATCTGAAAGAAAAGCTAAAAGAGCCTTATTATAATTTTTTCTAGACTATTTTAATGCAAATATCTAAATTCTAAAAATTGTTTCTGAATATTCATTAAAAGAACTAGATCTAAATAAAATTGCATAAATATCTAAAGTAGCAAGAATTATATTATCTAATAAATCAATAAGCATTCTATATTCTACATCTTTACAATGTTAATCAAATTTTTGTAAAATTACATGTTTAATTTTTTGCTATACTTTATGTGCTAGTTCTAATAAAAGATTAACTTCTCTCCAACAACAACTTAACTACACAACTAACTGAAATTAAATCTGCTCTCAACAATCATTTTCAAGATTATTTCAAAGAACTTCTATATACTCTAATAAATACTAACTCCCTTTTCTTTGATCTCTACAAACTATATCCAGAAAATGAACACCTCTTTTAAAACCTCCTTTAAGAAATCACATTCGATGAATGGTCAAAAATAATAAAAGAGCTTCCTAACAACAAAGCTGCAGGACTATCTGAAACTAATTATGAACATAATAAAATGCTCAATTCCAAAAGTCAAAATATTATTCGCTTTTTTCTCTCCAAATGTCTTTCTCTCCAAAGTATACCTTTAGAATAGAAAACCTCAAATCTCTTCCTCATTCCAAAAAAATCTTCTTAGGACTTTATATTAGACCAAGTCTGTTCAATCTCTCTTATCGAACCAATTAAAAAATGCTTAACTAAAGTATTTACAACACATCTAGACCAAATCATAAATCAACACTATCTTCTAAATAACCTAAACTTTGTAGCAACTAAAAACTGTTTAACACATACACCAATACAAATATTATTAAATACTATCGAACATTACAAAAATAATAATAAAGAAGTATGGATACTTTTCCAAGATATGTTCAAAGCCTTTGACAAAATCAATATAAACCACCTCATCGATTTCTGCAAAAGAATTGGCATCTCTCAAAATATACTAAACTTTATAAAATTCTTATACCAAGATAGAAAAGCTAAAGTAATTACTGCTTATAGACTTTCAAACCCTATTACTCTTCATTCAGGTATTGAAAAAGAAGAGACCTTCTCCCTACTCCTTTAGAAAATATACTATAATCCTATCCTCAGCTATATTAATAACAAATACAAATCAAAATTCCTAAAAATAAAATCTAATTCTCTACTTGACATTATCTTTTCAAATAAATTACAATCTATCATAATTCCACCTCTGGCATTTATGGATGACACTGTCTGGTATTGTAAATCAAAAAAAAATCTTCAAGAAATTCTACAAGATGTCTCTGAACTTTACCAACTCAATAATATTCAAGTAAACCTACTTAAATTAGACCTTCTTCATATACCCAAAACTAAAATCCCCCAAACCAACACTACTTCTAACTACTCCTTACTTTTCAAAAACCAACCAATTCTACCTCGCAAACCAGAAAAAACTATAAGATACTTAGGTATCTTTTTGGATGGAAATGGTTTATCTAAATTCACAATTAATATTATTACTAACAAAATAAATTAATTTACTCATCTTATCAAATTCAAAAAACTTCTTCCCATACATATATCAAGATTATTTAATATGATTCTTTTACTAGCAATTGAATACCTTCTCCAAATCTGTTCCTTACCTCAGAAAAAAATCAATTAACTATCAAGTATTCTTACCAAAAATACCAAACATATCCTACACCTATTAACAAATACAAATAATGATATCCTCACTAATCCCCAACTCTTTAACATACCAATACTTAATAAATTACTTCTACTAACAAATAGCAGCAATATTAACAGATGTCTAAACTCAAATATTCTCCTAACTCAAATTACTTTTTCATATATCAAAGAATGGCTAACCAAGATTTGGCAACCAACTCTAACAAAAAAAACCATTCTCTCAAACCAAAGGAAAACATTAAATTTTACAATTATTAACCAACTAGTTCTACTATACAAAAATGATATATCACTTAATAACCTTTCTTTTGATAACTTGCAAAATCTAAACCAAATACATCAACTCAACTTCATATATAACTTCCTCTCAAATCCTAATGCCATGACAACTCTAAGTCTTAGAAACAACCAAATTCTATTTCTTGAACAACTTCTCACTGCAGATAACCAATTACTTCTTTCATAGAAAAATATTTATCTTAGAATCTACAAATCTCCTCGTAGTCTAACTCCTAAATAATATAAACAATTAGCAAATCAAGTAACATCATTACCTATACTAGAAATCTAACCTAACACCAAATTCATTTCAATAAATCTCTTTATAAACACTCTAAATCTAATCACCTTACAAAACCTAAACAAAAACTATTGGTCTCTCTATATCTCTCACAATGAACTCAAAATTGGTAAAATAACCAACTACTCAACAACTCACACAACATCCTAAAACTTCTAACTCATTCTCTCTAACTCAAATTCAATTCATGTATCACCTACACCTACTATAATACAAATTAACTACAATCAAACAATTAACATAAAGTGCAAAACACAAAAAGAAAAAAACCAATTCAA